ACTGAGTGGTTCTCCGGGAGAAACTGCTGTGGTTCCAGACGCAGCTACATAATGGCAAGACCGTTCTTCACCGGGTTCTTGTTGACACCATACCTCAATGTTCCAATTGGAACTGGAATCTGCTATTCTCTTTACCTACACAATTTGCTTTCGGTTTGGATCCTATGGTCAACTGGGGTAAGCAGGCCTATTTTACGCGGTAGGGGACTCTGACTAATTTGTTTGAGTTTCCTCCAAAACAGGATTTATTATTTCAAAACTATGGACATCCGTTAAATCCCCTGTAGACTGTCTTCAGAGGTCCATCCCCAGGGCACGGAGAGTCTCGTAAATTGTTCAATTTTTTAATATTAATTGGGGCAACCTCGGTGGAAAATCGACAAAAAAAAAGAATAAACTGAAAAAGAAAACTTCCCCCTTACTTTGAAGTAAACAAAGTACTAAACCTTAGCAACGATTGATAAAATGTCAACACAAAGCAGTGATGCTGTTTTATATTATATTCTGTGTCGTACTTGTCATCGTGTGCCCTAACTGCTTACTGATCGGCACAGCTACGATGTGCTTCGGCACAGTATGCAGAGTTGATTACCCTTTGGCTTTTTATCATAATTTTAATGATATGATTTTCATACAGCAATTTAGAAATGATTTGACTTTCATTTGTCTAGAACATTTTAAAACGCAATCTAGATGTTTTATCCCTCATTTCTGAGATAGTTCTAATAAGTACACAGTGTCTTCAATACGCCCATCGTGTTGCCAGCTCGCTGATCTCATATACGGTACAGGTGGTACAGGGTCATAAAGAGATCATAAAACCGTGACGTGCTAGGGCAAACATATATTCTAGACATTAATTCAGGATACCATAACAAAGTCAAATATGGTTAAGTAGTGCAAGATCTTGCAAATCAAACTTTAACCTTTTTTGGATGATTGTTTCGAATGATATTATAATCACACTCCCTGCTTAAACCAAATCAGTTTTAATTATTTTATTTCCTTAAAATTTATGATAATTTTTAATCACTTTTTGTTCACTTTCCATTCACTTTGTTTTAGTTGATTTTGGTCTCTTATTTACTATTTTTATTTTTTAACACTCCTATTTGTATTTTTCTCGGAATTTCCTTGAATAATGTTTCCTCAAACTCTGTGTATAATGCACTTGGAATTTGCATTAGAATTATCATTTGAATTAACCTGCTGTTCTTCTCAAAGTCTCTCTTTGAAGTTCTCCTCACAACTCACTTGAAATTAATCTAAGAATAACATAGAAATTCAATTCAGAACTTCCTTTCTCCTCCCCAGAAATCAAGAAATAGAATTCAGTTCTGACTTCATCTAAAAATTATGTTGGAATGTTGGGAATGTACCGCATAAAGCCAAAATCGGAAGTGTATATTTGTGTTTCTATATAACAGCGGATGGACCTATGTATACTTGCTTGTAGGGTTTCTAACTTTCTTACATACTTACTTTGAAACGTAATAATTGCCTGATCTTCTGCAACGGATCTCCAATGAAAATCATAGACTGCTTGATCTATGTTTCCTTAGCCGTGAACTCGCCTCTAATTGCTCGGTTCAAGAGGCACCCGAACCACTAGTTAAACGTTGTAGATACCATTTACCTCTGCAGTTATCATTACACTTATATCAGGCTTGCACTTTTCGGGTAACCGTGGACAGCGTATCGTATGACTACCGTAGAACTGACTTTGAGGGAATGGCAACCTTTTTCGAAAACATCAGCTGGGACGATGAACTCCGAGATCGTGACGCGAATGCTGCCTCTTCTATTTTCTCGAATATTGTCGTGTATGCGATCGACCAGTTTGTACCCATGGCAACTCCACCCATATCTAGTAACCCTCCTTGGACCAACCACCGACTCAAGCGACTGAAGTCATCCAAACGAGCTGAAGACATTTTGTAAACTTCGAACGGATGCATCGAAGAGGAACCTCGTTAACAAACAGTACAAGCGGCTCAACAAACAGCTTTATCAAGCCCATCAGCGCAATCTTCAAACTAAACTCAAAGCAAATCACAAGAGTTTCTGGAATCATGTGAACGACCAACGGAAGTAATCGGACTTACCTTCTACAATGTACAATACGGATCAAGAAGAATCAGATACGGAGGGAATCGCTGGCCTGTTCATGTCACAATTCAGCATTGTCTTCGTCAAAGAAAATTTACCTAACGAGCACATCGTAGCCGCCGTAAGTGATGTTCCCGTACTTTCTGCTGTTGGACCGCATCCGCCAATCTCGACTAATGATGTTCGTAGAGCAGGCCTTCGTTTGAAAAATTCTTTCAGCACTGGCCCTGATGGAATCCCTTCCGCGGTTATTAAGAACTGTATTGGAGTGCTGGCCGCAACTTTAGCATCCATCTTCAACCTCTCTTTGAATTCTGGGATCTTTCCCGACTGCTGGAAGGATTCTTTTGTTTTCCCTGTCTTCAAAAAAGGCAATAAGCAGTCGGTGTCCAACTACCGTGGTATCGCTGCTTTATGTGCAGTCTCAACACTTTTTGAACTATTGATGCTAGATTATTTAAAACACACATGCTCTAGTTACATCGCGACTGAACAACACGGTTTTATGCCGAAGAGGTCGACCACTACAAATCTCGTTCAATACACATCATCAATCATACGTGGGATGGAAAGAGGTCATCAAGTGGATGCTATCTACACCGATCTTTCTGCTGGTTTTGATAAAATCAATCACGAGATTGCAGTGGCCTTGGTTTTCACGGTTTCCTTCTTGATTGGCTTCGCTCATACCTCACCGGTCGACATATGTCAGTGAAGATTGGAGATCATTTTTCTCAACCGTTTGCTGTTTCTTCTGGTGTACCTCAAGGCAGTCATCTGGGACCGTTCATATTTTTATTGTGTCTGAATGACGTTCACTTTTCGATCCGTTTCCTGAAGCTGTCTTATGCTGACGATTTCAAATTATACTTTGTCATCAAAGATCGAAGTGATGCGTTGTTCCTTCAGCAGCAGATGGACGTTTTTGCTGTTTGGTGTGACAAGAAAAAATCACCTATCTCTTATGCTTACAGCTTGCAGGAGCAAATATTAAGCCGTGAATCTACCATTAAAGACTTAGGCATTCTACTTGATTCACAACTCACCTTCAAGGACCATGTGGCTTATGTTTCCGCTAAGGCATCTTTTCAACTTGGTTTCATTTTTCGTTTCGTCAAAGACAGGGACATTTTCTGTTAAAAAAACACTCTATTGTTCGCTAGTCCGTCCCACATTAGAGTACTGTTCCGTAGTATGGGCTCCTTTTTACAGCCACGGGGTGAATCGTATTGAGGCCATTCAACGAAGATTTATACGTTTCGCTCTTCGTTGGCTGCCTGGAGTGATCCTTTCAATCTCCCTAGTTATGAAAGTCGTTGTAATTTGATGTCCCTACAATTACTTAGTGTTCGCCGAGGCGTCTTAAAGGCTACCTTTATCGTTGATCTTACGTGATCGGACATCAATTGCGGTTCATTCCTGCAGCAGTTGAATGTCAATATCAGACGGGGAACTTTACGTTCTTATTATTTTTTCAACATCCCGGCTTCTCGCACAAACTACGGCGCTAATGAGGCGTTAACTAGCATGTGCAAGATTTTCAACAAATGTTATAACAGCTTTGATTTTAATATCTCCCGTGTTAGGCTTAAGAATCTGTTTTGTAATGTACTCTTAACTTCCTGACGGTTTCTGTTTTCTGTACTTAAATTAATTTAATTATGTTATCATTAATATCTTTTTATATGTTTAGGACTTACATAGTTCAAGCAAATGTATCTGTAGGATTCCATGTTATCTGTTGGTACTGAAATGATGAGGCTTTGCTCCTACTAGTGTGGGCTTTTCCCTCCAAATAAATAAATAAATGGTCAGCAGCGAGATTCCAACCTTCTTGTGACCTTTCTGAGGGGTCGTAGAGTTCTCTGCATCTCTGCATAACATTCCTTTCCCATCCCCACCAGTTACAAGAACCCCAGACAACCAGAATGCACGTATATTCAAAGTTGTTTTTGTGACATACAAAGATATATACAAACACACAAATCGTATATAATGCAAAAAAGAGGCTTATGCCTACAAAAGTGGAGGCCATATACGTTCAAATTTTAAATTATTATTAAACGAGTTGATTTGACATCATATACGATTTAATCTGTGATAACAAATTTAATTTGAAAAGCCTTACGATGTAATCCGATTTAATTTGTGATACATTACGATGGAAAAATGATTCATGGTATATAAGTCGAAAATTCGCATTCTACACGATTTAACTTAAACATAATGCGATGTATGTCAATCTTATATGCGATATTGACATAAACTGTAGTTATTTACGATACTGTCTGTACATTGTTATACGACTTCTGGTTGTCTGGGACGTGGTTACGACAGGCCTAGTCTGTTGGAAGAAAACACATCCTTTATCTAAGAGGGCAGTGAGTAGGGTAGAGAACTATTTCGGCCTAATCGGCCATTTTGGGCCTATCGAGAAGAAAACTTCAAATAAATCCATGATATCAGAGTTAACAAGTCAATTATGCGTTTGGTACGATACATTAGTTAATAATCTACCAAACGAAGTCAATGAGGTTTGAAGGTTTCCACCAATTATTCCCAAAAACAAAAGAAGCACTCCGACCGAATCAATTTTTATCTCCATCCGATAGGCCGAAGTGAATTCATTGGCGTTTCAATGCGTTAGGCCGAGTTTAGAATCCGTAGGCCGAGTTTGGCGTCGAGAAGCAGTGTTAGATTTTTGACAATATCTCAACGATTGGTTTATTTTTATCAAATCTACGGAAAGGTAAATAAACTTGGAAGCCATCAGTGATAATAACATTTCGTTTGGTACTAAACTGCGCTAGATTAAGAAAGACTAAGTGCGGGTTGTGTTTAATATGCTGGAAATGGGGTAGTTAACCCTATGCCTTTCTTTCAAATAACTCAGCAGAACGTTCATAATTAGGAGCATAACGATTTATTATTTTCATTGTTTGTTTTGAAATCAGTTGCATTTATAAATATCTACAATGCACTAATCTTTTGTCATGTTTCCTGCCCGAAACAAAAACCTTTGTTTCACAGAAAGAACAACAGTTAACACACACTCAAAAAATCTCAACATGCTTAAAAGGAGCTATTTGATTTGGGTAGGTCAAGTTTTACGAAATGCTTTTAACTCGCACGCAGAAGCTCTACCTAGGTATGCATCTAACATCTATAAATCGTTCACGTAACGAACTAAAACGGTACATATTATCTAACAGAGGATAGAGGATTTGCTTTCCTTCTTTTACTTCTTCCCATTCTTTCGACACAGGGAAAGAATGTCATTTCCATTCTCGAAACACAAAATCACATTCAAGTTGGCGCTCGTTTCAAAGCAATAAATCATGCAGTTTTATCTTGCTGTAATATCATCTTACAACTACACACCGCGCACCGTGCGCCGTAGAACTAGGTGAGCACGCTTAGCCGTATCTTCGCTTCCGATGCATACCGACGGTGACGGCGCCCGGTTTATGACAAAAGTGCCTCATCGTCGAATTCCAGCGCCCCCCGTCGCAGTGGAACACCGATGCCGGCTCCAGGTGAGCTGGGATTTCGAAGTGTTCGTTGCACTTGATCCGACACACGGTCCCACTGGGGACGTCGAGATCGTTGGAGCTGGCCGCCGATGGGTTCATCTCGCACGCGAACCGACCGTTGTTGGGCGGGATCAGATAAGTGCAGTCCGTGGTGGGCGGAGCGTCGCTGTCGTACGCGTAGTCATCGGATACATCTGCAATTAGGTAAACGATTTTATTAGCTTGTTTTCTGGAATGAATATTATGAATATGAGTTCACTGTACCATTATACATGCAGTTCGGTTCCTCCCCCTCCCAGCTTTGGTCCTCGCTGCACTCGACGAATGCGTTTTGCCTACTCAGGTATCCCTCGTTCCGGCAGTGGAATGTACACCTGGATCCCCAGATATTCCCCAAATCGCATGCCACTTTGAGATCCTTGTTCTTAGGATAGTACTTCCCGCACTGCTTCACAATTACTTTGTATCGTAATTCGCAAGTCTGCACCACCTTTCCGCTTCGCTTGTTGACAATTTTGGCCAGGAACGAGAACGGTCCGCCACCGTTCGAATGGGGTAGGATAAAATTGAGCTTGGTTCCGAACAGCGTTTCCAGTTCGTACAGGTCACGCGAGATTGGTTGATTGCGGCACGTTGTCAACATCGGAGGCTCGATCAGCACACCGTCGAGGCCTTTGCGTGCGATGGCGGTTTTCTCAGCGGGGCACTTGATGCAGAGCCCGTTGACAACGGTCGATTTAACACTGGGGTCGTGGGAGCGCCGACCTGCCGCTGCTGCCGTTGACCAGTCCGGGTGCCGCAGCCGGTGGTTGCGACTCCTGTGGGGCTTCTGGCGGTAGACCTGCGGGGAAAATGTGGACCGAGTTAGGGTTGCTGCAGTTGTGTTAAATGTAAATATTTGCATAGCATTCGGTAACCGTAGATTTGATCGATTACCTTCTAGATTGAATGTTAATGGCGACATAGTAGATCGGAGTCAGGTGTTTTTAGATATGATTGTGTACATACACACTGGCGGAGCAAGGTGGAAGGTGGGTTTTTAATAACCTTACATTTTATACCTAGGTGCTACTTTGTGGTTAATCAGTGTTGGTTAAAATATCACAAATGACCATAGATGGTGTTTTCCTTATGGTCATCGAGTAGAAGAAGAATAATCATCATCACCAGCCATTCCCCTAGCCGAGAATCCGCATATAGTTATGAAGATGCATCCGTGCTTGTCATGGGAAAAAAAGTAATTTTAGCAGGATGTGAACATTGGAATCACTTCGATTTAAATAGCGATAAGTCTATATCTATTTATGAGACCTAAATAAAGACTTGTTTTTTGACGTAGACTACGTCTTACGGGAAGGTACAGGGGGTAAATCTAAAATTGCGACTGTCACAAAAGGTGTTACGTTTGGAACGCTTATAACTTTGTCATCTATAGATGAAATTGAAATCCAAATATGTATACCAATCGATAGCAAATAACTCTTTTCCAATTTTCCAAAAAAATTCTTTGAAAAATGTTCAAGTCAAACGTGATGATTTTATCATTGTATTCATGAAAAAACGTTTTCCCTAACCCAGTTATCATAATCGAGTACTACTTGTTTGCGCATCATTCTGCTTAAACTTGTAAAGTTATAAAACGGTGCTGTGAAAACATAATATCAGGGGAAACATGTCTGAAGGGTATAACTCGAAACGTAAACAATGACTTTGAACAAAGATTTCTCTTGAACGACCACACACCAACGGAATCTGATTACACTAGCTCATAGAACAAGTATTTCTCTGTCAGATGATTTAGTTAGTTTGAGTGGGTATGTAGTCATTCGTAAGAACCCAAAGATCCAAGTCATTGTTTACGTTTCGAGTAAGACCCTTCTGACATTTTTTCCCCTGATATGTTGGGCCATTGAAAAATTTAAAAATTCTTGTACCAGACTTGATTTTTTGTTTAGAAGGAATTTTGAGAAGATTATAGATTTTAGAATGAATGTCAGAGATAACACCAAGGTATTTCAGAGAAAACTAAAAGGAGCGTTAGAAAGAAATTTAAGAGATTTTAGACTGTGGAAAATTCCAAGTCCATTGTGATTATCCTAGGATAAGTGAAAAATAACAAGGAAATCGAATTTTGAGAGTAACATTTCAAAGGAATTCTGAGAATTATTTTAAGGGAATTCCAAGCAGGCATGGAAAATCATTTGCATTCATTTCGTGCATTCATTTACATTCATTTGCCTCTAACTTTTTTCTTCAACAGCATTCCGCAAAATGATGTATAGAGCTTTTGTAAGTTTTGTTATTAGCTACAACTTTTATTAACAAGTCAAATCCATATCTCTTATGCATGACGAAGCAGAGCGAACAGAAGCCACTACTGTTTTTCAGTGAATGTGAAAAACTGCAACAAGTTCTGCCTGCTCTAGTTCGTGATGCATAAGAGATACAGATTTGAGTTATGAGCAAAACTTGTACCTAATTACGCAACCTACAAAAGCTCTATACATAATTTTGCGGAATGCTGTTGATGAAAAAAGTTAGAGGCAAATGAATGTATGAAATGAATGCAAATGATTTTCCATGCCTGATTCCAAGTACTTCACGAAACGAATTTCTAAATAATCTTAGGGAAATTTCTCAGCAAAATTTAAGAAAAACTACAAGGAAAACTTCAAGATACTTCTGAACAAAATTTAAAGACAATTCTGAGGTGAATTGCTTGAGAATTCTAAAGAGAATTCAAGTGAATTTCAAATAGAATTATGGAAGGAAGGTCCAAAGCAAATCTAAAAATGAATTTCATGCTTTTTTTTATTGATCTGCATAGCATTTCTAGCCTGTTACAAATACATTTTTAGGGACTCCCTGAGATAATCTCAAACTTATTTTCTGTGAAGGGAAAATATTCCAAAGGAAATGCTTGAATATATGCTAATAAAATCCTACAAAGACTTTTAAGTAAATTTTCAAGGAAATCGCGATCAAAACATTTTAGTTTCGAATCCCTCCCAATTCTCGGTACATCTTTTAACTATCGATTGAGAAAAACCAAATGTCTCTAAATAGCGTTTTGTGAACGCTCTGCCATCATTTTGCATAAGAGCACCCGCACCAATGCGTTGCTATAGCTATTTTAGCAACCTCCACCATAACGCAGTAACCGCAACGGGGGTTGCTATTCAAGTGCGGGAAATAACAATCTGCCTCTCGGTGAACAGCGGGTTGACAAATATAGCAGCGCGATAGCAACCGGCCCAAGCGTTGCTATCTATGAAATGTTTGTTTTGTTTTTCATTTGAACATTGTGCTAGGGGAAATGGCTCTAATGTTGGCCTATGGATCTAAGATTGGGCCCATCGCTAAAAATCTGCTGTTTATCAATTTTATCTAGATGAACGCGTCATTTGGACGGTACTATTGGATATTTTTAGTCGCTATTGAAAATTTAGTCGATTGCTGAATTTATGTATAGGCCCAAATTAGAGACATTTAGGCCGACATTACATCCATCTCCCCTATATGAATAAATTTGGATTTGGGACAAAAATGTGTACCCAAGGGACAGGAAAGCATTCCTCTGGAAGACTGCGAACTCCGCTTGCCACAACCCGGTCTTTCGCGAGGTCCGGACCATGCGTAGAAGTGATAAAAAAGACTCAAGAGCTTCACAATTCACTTATTCTGAAGCTACATGTATGAATTAGGATCTAGGACTAGCATATGCAATCAGGTAGCGGTGTGTTTCTCTGGAAGATTTTGAACATCCACAGAAGTAGTCAATTCGCGTAAAAATCCTAGTTTTATTTGGACTTCCCTGAGGTTTTGAATCTTTCCTGAAGTTCATTAATTTTTCAATTGTTCCGGAAATTTTAATCATATTTATAAAATTTTCTGAAGACCTCGCTTTGTTACTGAAGCATTGAACAATTTATGAAATTATTGAAATATCCCTTAATTCCTTTCAATTCCTTGAAATATTCTGCAATTGACCATAAATAAATGAAACTGACATGAAGATCTCTAATCATCTACGAAGTTCCGGGAACTTCCCAAAATATAATGAAACTACTAAAAAATCTATATACTTCTCTGAAGGTCTCTAGACGTTCTTGAAGATTTCTGAACATTTTGAAAGATCTCTAGATTTTCTTGAACTTAATCTGATCATCGCTGAAGTTCCTGCATGCTTTGCAGTTCTTTAAAATGATCTCACATTTTCCTGATGCTCATGTAAGATCACTTATGTTTCTGAAATTTAAATAAAGGTCTTTGTACTCTGATGAAGTTTTGGAAATTCCCTGAGTTTCTTGGAACTTTTAAACATTCTTCTGTTTCCATGAAATAGGGGAAATGGCTCTAATGTTGGCCTATGAATCTAAGATTGGGCCCATCGCTAAAAAACTGCTAATTATCAATTGTATCTACATGAACGCGTTATTGAGACGTTACTAACGGATATTTTTGGTTGCTATTGAAAATTTAGTCGATTGCTGAATTTATGTATGGGCCCAAATTAGGGACAGTTAGGCCGACATTACATACATTTCCCCCAAGTTTATTTATTTATTTATTTTTCCATTCCTGAAGTGAAGTACTCTCAATTCTCTTGAAGTTCTTGGTATTACCCTGAACTAAATATAACTGTCAAAAAATTCTCGAAGTTTTTCTGAATTTTATTGAATTGACCGGAGCTTACGCATACAAATCTTCAAACTTCCCTGAAAGTCTGGATTTTTTTGAATTTCTCGAAGTTATGAAGTTATTGGAAGTGCCGTTAATATATCTGAAATTTCCTAGAGCTCTCTAGTTTAACTTCTTTGAGGTACTTGGAAGTTCTTTAAAATGTCAATTTTCCTCAAGTTATCTCCACATCTCTGAAATTATTTTTAATTCCCTAAAGTTCTCTGGATATCTCTGAATTTCTCAAATTTTCTAAAAGTTACAGCAGTTCCCTGAAGCTTTTGCAGGGTGGCCAGCAAACCGGGAAAACCGGGAATACCGGGAAATATCCGGGAATTTAAAAAGTAACCGGGAAATCCGGGAAAAAACTCGGGAATTCGGTGAGAGAACCGGGAAAAATAAATTAACCATACCATATAGGATCCAATTTTTAAACCAGAATTTCAGAATAAACCATTAAAACAGAGTGATCCCTTACCAAATGAATGTCTTGCTCTATTTGCTGCATACTTTTCTTCAGTTTCCCGTCTTATTGTTTTAAGAATTTAATCACTCAGCAATAATGCAAATTGATTTTTGTTTTCTCAATTTCTGATGTTAAGGGCATGGTCCTTAAAAGAAAATATTGAAGATGCTGGACTTTGGAAACAAAAATTTGTAAAAACCGAAACTGAATTATTCTTTTCCAGGGTTTTAATTTTTCATTGTTTAAAATTCTCATGATACGAATTCCAGAATTAACTTGGAATTCTGCTCTGAATTATCTTGAAATTGTTCTGAAATAAACCAGAAAACACTCCGCCTATTAATTACCGTTGGATTCTTTTTGGAATTTCCTTGCAACCCCTTCTAAGAATTTAATTGGAATCCTTCTTAGAATTCCCTTGACTTTGATTCTTTTGAAAATCTTCTCTATTCAAAACAGCAGAAATCTTACGAATTTTTATTTAGAATCTTTTTCTAATTATCAGCAATTTTTTTACAATAAATTTTGTTGCAGTTCTGTGATTAATCTTTCGTACTAGGGTTTAAATTATTGCCAGAACATTCTAAGAACTCTGTTTGTTGTTGAAATCTGATCATAATTCTCTTGTAATTCTTCTTAAAATTCATCTGTCATTTTCTTCACGATACCCATACAAATGTCCTCAGAATCACGTA